CCCTCGGTGGGATATATAAGCATCCAAAGAAGTTCACTGAACTGTGTGTTTTACTCCAGCACTTCTCAGTGAGGCTATTTGGTATTTACCGATTTTAATTTCTTCTACCCTATCTAACCAAATAGTTTTTTGCCAGAGTTTCCTGGCCTTTCTAGAGGGCAGGTACAATTGCTTTCACAGCAATTAAAAGATCCCTCAGTATAGAGCACTTATATTTTGAAATTGGTAGTGGGCAGGGCCAGCATGTCCATAAAGCGGCAGAGGCGCCACAGCAGGGGGAGGGGGCACAAAAATCCAAAAGCCAGAGACTTAGAATTTTAAATATTTTTGCAGTACACAATTATTGGAGTCCTTTGAACACCAATAGCACAATTAGCAGCTGCCCTAACCCCAGGGCCAGATTAAGAGCCCAGTGGGCAGTTATGATGGGGCCTAATTACCAGGGCCGGATTTAAGTCCTCTTAAGATTTGCCAAGAAAAGGCGATGTTATTCAAAATCATATGACGTCATATTCCAGCCCCGCTGGGGAGGGGGAGCAGAGACAGAACAGCCAGGTCCCCCTGCAGCCGCCAAAAGAGCTCCCTCTGCAGGTGAGCCAGCTGCCTGCCCGGCCCCAGGTGCTAACGGCCCACTGGTAAATTTCCCGGTATCCCGGTGGGCCAGTCCGGCCCTGCTAATTACAGAATCTTATTGACCAAAAACATTAAAACGGTCATACCTCTCATGCGTCATGTATCTGATGGAGATGGTGCTGGAGGGAAACGCAAAGGATGCAGCTATAAGAAAACACATACTCTATTCTAATCTCTCTCATTTATGCTTTCATCTTTCAAGTAAATCCATACCCCCCCCAAACAGCAGTGTCCAGTGAAGCAGGAAGTCAAGGGTGGGCCACTTGGGCATGTGAACGGGAATTTCAGCTATTCATTTCATCAGAAAGATGAATGAAAGGAAATATCAGACGAACAAACAAACACTGAATATCAGTGTTCGTTCAGTTCATTACAAGGAGGGAGCTACCGTTGCGCAGCTCCCTCCTTGTAATATATAAAGATAGAAGCGGCAGGGAGCTGTGTGCCCCACCACTTCCTAAGCCCCCCATGTCCTCCCTCATTCTATTGGGGTCTATATGACCCCCATAATAGCATAAGGGAGATTAAAATCTCCCGAATGCCCCTACTCGCTATACTGTGAGTAGGGGCATGTCTACTAAACAGTGAGCAGCCACTGCGTGGCGGGTGGGGGCCCTAAATAACAATAAGGGGGCCTATTGTCCTCCCCCTGGCCCCCACCCACTGCTCAGGGTTAAAGATAATGAGGGGAACCTACGGTCCTCCCCCCTGCCCCCACCCCTGGGCAGGGGCCATAAAGATAATGGGGGGGACCTACTGTCCTCCCCCCACCAGCACCCACCCCTGGACGGCGGGTGGTGGCCATAAAGATAATGAGGGAGGGGACCTACTGTCCTCCCGCCACCCCCCGGCTCCCACCCCTGGGCGGCGGGTGGGGCCCTTAGACAAATCTTTATTTTGTTTGTGCAGAGGTTAAACATGTGGATTTGCACTGCCACAACAGCTGGTGCAACCAAGTTATATACATAGTTAAACACATGGCATTAAAGATAAACAATGCATTTTTTTTTTAAGGTAGATTAGTAAACAGGGTTATGTCTAAATCGTTAATAAATGAGGGATATGCATATTTGTACAGCATAAATAGGCTATAAGAGCAATGGAAGGTCCGGAAAATCGTCTCAGTTACGTAAAATAAATTTTCAAACTACAATGTAAGGAATGCTAGAACTGCTGATACCAGAGTGTTCTACATTCTGCAGGTGATATTTGCCTTTCCTGTCTTGGTATCCCCTAGAGGGCAAGCATATTGATGTGTACATTGTGCTCTCGAAGCTGCTATCCTGTGTACAGGCTAACTAGACTGTGCTCAGTAGTGCGTGCCACATTGCCACCTATTGTATTTGCGTGCCCAGCTGTGTCTTCCCCTCAATGCTGCTCTGGGGTGTGGTAGGGACCTACTTGAGGTAACTATCTCTCTGTACCATCAATTGCATGGGCTCTGAGTGTTCAAACCGGCATTTGTAGGTTTGGGGATTAAGTGTTTCTCAGTTGGTTCTCTCTGCTATTGCGTTACCTTTTGGCCTCTGCTATGTTGCTGAATGCCATGCTAGTGTCTAAGTGGTGCAGTTCTTATGGACCAGCACTCAGTGGGCATGTCGGGCTTAGTGTGCGCATTATGTGCATTGCTGCCTTGAGGCCAGAAAGTTAAAGGTGTAGGTAAGGGCTGATACGCCTCTCGTCGGTACAGTGGTCTGAGGTGGTGTCTTTACGGGGGATTGCGGCCGTATGGGACCTATACCTGTTGGTAGGCATGTAGTGCTTTTTTTTTTTTTT